GAAGTGATCAGGATTTTTTTTTAACACATTGTGACTGCTTATAGTAAATTAATTTCACTGCTATAAGCAAGACCTTTTTACAGAATAAAATCAATTCACTGTGTTTTGATGTGATTAGATGTGATTGGCCACAGGTAATCACATGTACAGATGATCAATCACAGCTAGCAACAAAACTGTACACAATGAATGGCATGAATTGAAGCCATTCACTGTGTACAATTGTCATGTGTACAATTGTCAGCAGCAGCCTGGTACTGTGATCTGTCATCAACAGTGTACGGTGGACACAGCTGGTGACAGATTGCACCCGCAGTGTGGTGGCTGCGTGCGTGCGAGGCTTGTTCCTGGAGGACGTCATATGACATCCACCCGAAACAATGAAAGTCCGGCCCAGCCATCAACTTGTTACAGGCCAGGCAGAATGTGATTAAATCAGGTGTTCCCATCAAAGCACCCCTTAAATCAGGTGTTTTCATGGGAGTGACCCTTTTACATTAGGTATCCATATTGAAATGCCCCTTAAATAAGGTGTTCCCATTGGAAAGCCCCTTTACATTAGGTGTCCCCATCGAAGTGACCCCTTAAATCAGGTGTTTCCCATTGGAGGATCCTTTTGCATTTGGTGTCCCTATTGAAGTGCCTCCTTAAATCAGGTGTTCCCATCAGAGTGTCCACTTAAATCCAGTGTTCTCATGGGAGTGCCCCCTTAAATCAGTTTCCATTGGAGGGCCACTTTACATTAGGTGTTCCTACCAGAGCGCCCCCTTAAATCAGGTGTTCCCATTGGAGGGCCCCTTTACATAAGTTGTCCCCATCAGCATGTCCCCTTAAATTAGGTGTTCTGATCAGAGTACCCCTTAAATCAGTGTTCCGATCAGAATGCCCCCTTAAATCAGGTGTCTCCATGGGAGTGCCCCCTTAAATCAGTTTCCATTGGAGGGCCCCTTTACATTAGGTTTTCCTACCGGAGTGCACCATGGAAGCCATGGGAAGCTATCAGCTGACCCAAGGAAGAAGTGTAGATCGAGAATAGGAGAAGTCCAAGGACAGAACCTTGGGGGATCCTGACGGTAAGAGGAGCAGGAGAGGAGGAAGTAGAGTTGTAAATGACACTGAAGGTGCGGTAAGATAGGTAAGATTTCAACCAACAGAGAGTACAGTCACAGAGGCCAAGTAAATAGAGTATGTTGAGGAGGAGGGGGTGGTCAACTGTGTCAAAGGCAGCGGACAGGTCCAAGAGTAAGAGTATGGAATAGTGACCATTGGTTTTAGCGGTTAGCAAGTCATTTGTGAGTTTTAGGACAGCAGTTTCTGTGGGGTATTGTGGGTGAAATCCAGACTGAAGGGGATCGAGAAGGTTATTCTCAATGAGGTGGCAGCTCAGCAGGTTGTAGACTAGATGTTCAATGAGTTTGGAGGAAAAAGGGAGTAAGGAGATGGGTCTTAGGTTGCTAAGATTGGTGGGGTCCATTAAGGCCTTTTTAAGTATGGGGGTGACTAGCACATATTTTAGAGAGTTGGGGAAAATGCCAGTAGAAAGGGAGACATTGAAGATATGAGTTAAAGAATGAAGGATAGAGCCAGAGGGTGACCCTAGTATTTGCGAGGGAACAGGGTCCAGGGGACAGGTGGTTAGGTGGGCTTTAGAAAACAGTTTACCAACCTCCTCTATAGTAGCTGGGTTAAACAAGGGAGGTGTAGATTATGCAGGTGGACAAGGAGTGTAGGGTGAGGGAGATATCTGTACAGTGGAGATCTTGTCACAAATTGTATCAATCTTATTTTTTAAGTGATTAGCGATCTCCCGGGCAGTGAGTGAGTTAGTGGTTGGAGGTAATGAAGGACAATGTAGAGAGTTAAAGCTAGAAGAGTTGATGGGGACTGCGCAAGTTAATGAGGGTGATAATATAGGTCTGTTTGGCAGTGTGGAGACAAGAATTGTATTTCTGAACAGCATATTTATATTGGTCGAAGTCTTGCTGGGTCTTAGTCTTATGCCATAAATGCTGAAGAACACGGCTACATTTTTTAAGGCATCTGGTATTGTCTGTTTGCCAGGGCTGTAGCACTCGGGGCCTAATTCTGTGTGTAGTGAGGGGGGCCAATGTGTCTACAGTGGATGACAGTGAACTGTTGTAGACAGAATTGGCCAGGTTGGGACAGGACAGGGCTGAGATTTTGTCATAGAGACAATCTGTTTCAGAAAAAAGAAGAGAAGGGTAACATAGCGAAGGTTTGTACAAGTAACTGTCCAGTAGTTGGGAGACAAGGAGGAGAAAGCCAAGGAGAGAGTAAAGCTAATAAGGGAGTGATCAGAGAGAGGAAAAGGAAAGTTGGTGAGGTTGCAAGGAGTGCATAGGTAGGAGAATACAAGGTCCAGGCAGTTACCATTAGAGTGAGTAGAAGCATGTGTTTTAGGTCAAAAGAAGTGGTTAGGCTCAGAAGTTTACAAGTAGCAGGAGTGTTAAGATTAACAGGGATGTTGAAGTCATCGAGAATGATTGTGGGAATTTCCGAAGAGAAAAAGTAAGGCAGCCAGGCAGAGAAGTCATCAAGGAAGCTTGATAGCGGTGCAGGAGGCTAATGGATCACAGAAATTCTTAAAGAAACTGGAGAGAATAGACGAATACAGTGAACTTCAAATGAGAAGGACAGAGAGGTGAATGAAGGACCTGAAAAGTGCTTTGAGGGGATAGGAAGATTCCAACTCCACCTCCTTTCCATCCACTAGGCCTGGGAGAGTGAGTCCAGAGGAGACCACCATGGAAGAGAGCAGCAGGAGAGGGAAAGTCAGCTTCATGAAGCCAGGTTTACGTAGTTGCAAGTCGGTTAAAGGAGTTTGTCAAAAAAAGGTCATGGACAGAGGTGAGTTTGTTACAAACAGAGCGGGCATTCCAAAGGGCACAGGAAAAGGAGAGGCTGGTTCTAGGAAGAAGAGGAATAGTAACCAGATTGTGTGGATTGCGGCAGCTGTTAGAGAATAGGGGGTGCTGGGTGTGTTGATCAAAGGAAAAAGATGGCGGCCCAGGATTTGGGGAAATGTCTCCAGATGTTAGGAGAGGCAGAAGGGTGAGAGAGGTAACATGGGAGTATGACTTATGTGGAGGGACAGGTTCCAGTGTCCTGGAGGTTTTATTAGTGTGTGGGTTCAGGATAGAGTTGATGAGTACAGTAATAATGTGAAGAAAGGAGTGAGAGAATGATATATATATCTCCTATCTTTCATTTTCAGAGTTTATTTAAAGGATAAATCCACATTTATACAAAAAATAATAAATGCATATTTTTTTGAAAGTAAAAAAAAAAATGTGCATTAGTTTTTGTTTGTTTCAGGAGCCTATAAAGCATTACTCCTGTGATCAATAGATCGCTGGTGTAACGCTGGTCTCCTGCAGATCTGTCAGTATATCTGCTTGTTCGTACAGGATGTACAAGCAAGCAGATATATTGATAGGAGGACTGAATGAACTACCATGGAGCTCCACAGTGCCATGATTGTTCATTGGGAACTACAAGGCAACAGCCGCTAAGGCTGTCGGGACTTGTAGTTTCGCATTCACAGAACACTGTGAGAGCTGATTCACAAATACAGTATGCAGTGCAGATTGAAGCTCAGGTTTCACAGCTAATTGATATAGTAGTTGTTCAACGGTTCATGTCAGGTTTACATCATGTTTAGACATGTTCGGTTTAGAAACAGTTCTCATAGATTTCAATAGCACGTATTCCATACCTGAACCAGACGACACTGCTCAGAAACCGGACAGGGCTCTTTTTCTATCCGCACTGAATCCCGGAGTGCACCGGACATATGTCAACAGGCACCATAGGAAACAATGTTATTTCACATGTCATGCTGATTGGGTGCCGTTCAAACCGCACCCAATCCGCATAAATGTGAACTGGCACTGAATGAGTGACATGACTGGGTTGGATGTGCCCCGCTCTGCTGCATTTGTTAAAAATTTGACAGCTAGCAAGAGGGGAGAAGATCCCGCTAGCTGTCAAAGCAGGGGGACTGGCGGTGCATTCATAACATGTTATTCCCTGAATTTGGGGTGTAACGTTATAAAAGTCAAACTTATCCTTTAACTTCTTCCCTACTATGCTCTAGCTGAAAGAGAACTACAGCTGATCACGTGATACGGTAAACAGCCAATCACAGCGGCCTTTTACCATGTGATCAGCTATGTCCAATGGCACAGCAGATCACCGGTAAATACAGTTGCTGGTTATTGTCTGCACTTTCCTCATGCTGTTACAGCATGAGGAAAGTACTGCCGACAACCGGCAATTGTCAGAGAAGTGATCGGCACTGATTATCAGGGCACTGATGATCAGTGCCCATCAGTGCCGCCCACCTGTACCCATCAGTGTCGCCTACCTGTACCCATCAGTGTCGCCTACCTGTGCACAGTAGTGCCACCCATCAGTGCCTCCTATCAGTGCTGCCTAGCAGTGCCACTTTATCAGTGCCCATCAGTGCAGCCTCATCAACACACACATCAGTGAAGGAGAAAAATTACCTGCAAAATTTTATAATAGAAACAAAAACTTTTTTTTTTTTTTTCAAATTGTTTGCTCTTTTTTTGTTTATAGAGCAAAAAATAAAACACCCAGTGGTGATTAAATACCACCAAAAGAAAACGAAAAAAAGGACGAACATTTCATAAGTGTACAAGGTTGCATGACCGCGCAATTGTCAAAGTGCGACAGCGCTGAAAGCTGACAACTGGCCTGGGCAGGAAAGGGGTAGAAGTGCCCGGTAGGCAAGTGATTAAACAAACTGAAGGTAGAGGCTGACTGGTTGCCATGTTTTGGCTAGCCCAGTTTTGAGGAATCGGCCCTGTGGGAATATGAGGGAACACACGTGACCAGCACTGGCTTAGCAGGATCGGTGATGCCAACAAGCTCCAGTAGGAAGTGTAGAAGAGTAACAAGGCTGACAAGGCGGGCGCGCTGATTCCGAGCCCCAGCAGGGGGCAGCATCGGGCGCGATGACGCAGGCAGAGGGATGCTGGGAGAAGACCAGTCACAGCCGGCCAGTTGTTCGTTGCAGTTACGTTCCCGGCAGAGCGCGATGGCGGCCTTACCCTACCTCTCCGCTCCTGCGGCTCCGCCACGGCCTAACGAGGGCATTCTTATCGGGGACCGGCTGTACTCCGAAGTCTACCTCGCCATCGACAACTCCCATCATTCCGGAGGAGCGCCTGTCGCCGACTCCGTCTATGCTGGACGGCCTGGACCTGAGCTCGGAGACTGACCTGCGTGTGCTGGGCTGTGAGCTCATCCAGTCTGCCGGGATCCTGCTCCGAATGCCTCAGGTGAGGAGAGGGGGAGGCGGGGGGAGGCCGGCCGGGCTGGGTGCTTGGAATGCCGGGCCTACTCTGCCTGGCGGAGCGCTGACAGGGCCGGGGGCTCCCAAGATGGCGGCCGCCTCTCATCTTCTTCTCTCTTCCTCAGGTGGCCATGGCGACTGGTCAGGTGTTATTCCACCGCTTCTTCTACTCCAAGTCCTTCGTCAAGCACAGCTTTGAGGTGAGCCATGGTTGGTGGTGGGGAGAAGTCGTGTCAGCCTGTGTATTGTCTGTCCTCCCCCCTCCCCCATTATCTCTCAGGATCAGGTCGTTCCCTAGGTGTTTCCATTCAGGGCTCCTCAGAGCACAGCTGGTGTGTATATATTTGTATTAGATGGTAGGGGTTTACTGAGCACACCGGTTACATCATCACAGGAGCCTGCCAACATTGGGCGTAGAAGACAACCAGGAGAAGTCGCCCATGATGGAGCTACGAAGGTTCTGTCTACATCCTAAATCACTGAAAGGGGACACACAGCAATATTAACCACTTCAGTACCGGGCACTTCTACCGCCCTCCTGCCCAGGACAGCTTTCAGAGCTGTCGCACTTTGAATGACAATTGTGCGGTCATGCAACATTGTACCCATATGAAATGTTCGTCCTTTTTGTAACAAAAATAGAGCTTTATTTTGGTGGCATTTAATCACCACAGGGTGTTTTATTTTTGGCAATATAAACAAAACAGCAAAAAATGTTTTTCTTTGTTTCTATTATATAATTTTGCAAACAGATAATTTTTCTCCTTCACTGATGTGCATTGATGAGGCCACACGGATAGGCGGCACTGATATGCAGCAATGATGGGTGGCACTGATCATCGGTGCCGATCTGTTTTCTGACAATTGCCGGTTATCAGCAGTACTTTCCTCACACTGACAGCGTGAGGAAACTGCAGTCAATAATCGCATTTACCCAGTGATCTGTGTCAATGGTCACAGCTGATCATGTGGTAAAAAGCTGCTGTGATTGGCCTTTTACCACATTACTGATCAGCTGTGTCTGTAGGACACATCGATCATGGAGATTGCTGGGTGTGTTCTGGAAGGACATTATATGACGCCCTCCCAAAACTGGACAACCGTGCTGTAGCTGTCATTTGGCTATAGCGTGGTTGCCAAGTGAATAACCCCCCCCCTCCCCAAACCAAAAAATATAATATGTTGCACCTTACCAGTCCTTAGATGTGGTGACTGCATTTGTTTTTTTTTTTTTTTTCTCTCACCTGGTGATCTGGCTAGTAACACACCTCCTGTATTAGAGTACCCCCCCCCCCCCCCCAGAAGGAGCACAGGGGGCACCTTTTGGACAGTAGAATTGTCAGTCTGGGGTAGGGGAGTTTACATGTCCTAGCAAATTTGGATACATTAACCAATTGAAGCAAAACTTTAGCAAATGCTTTACCAAGAGTTTTGGTCCTTTTTTGGGGTAAGCGTAAATAAATGAATAAAAGCTGATCATTTGTAAGCACCCCCTGTCATTGTTAAATGGTTTGTCTTAACCCTCTAATTGTTACATCTAAAAGAAAGCTTGTTCTGTTTAAAACCCACTTTCTTTCCTTTCAAAAGGAAAGGCAGCTTAACGTGTTACTAAACCCATAACTGTAACATCAGTCTGTATATGTAGTAAAAATATATACATATAGTAATGTAGTAAAGTATGCTTTTTACACTCCCTGTGAAACTAAGGGGTTAATCCTCCACATTGTGTGAAAAGGTTGTTTGATCCTGACTTCTCTGATCCTCCTGTTCTACTGTCCCCAATCCCCTTTCTGATAGTACAGAGTCCTAGGAGACGAGCTTCACATGCTCAGTTTAGAGGTTTTTACCCCCCCCCCCCCCCCCAACCAGGCCATTTTTTGCTGTGCGGCTCTGTGTTACTTTAACTGACAATTGTGCGGCACCCAAATTAAATTTATTCCTACGAATTGAGCTTTCTTTCAGTGATATTTGATCGCCTGTGTGTGTGTGTGTTATTTTTTGCGCTATAAAAAAAAAAAAACAATTTTGAGAAACAATATTTGTGACTTTTTGCTATTAAAGCATAGTTCCATCTGAAAAAAAAGAAAAGTCAGCAACTACAAAAAACTGTAGCTGCTGACTTTTAGAATACAGCCACTATCCCTTGGTCCAGGGGTGTCCTCACCACGGCTGGTTTCGTTGGCCGTCTTCTGTCCCCGGCTCCGGCAATTTCAGTGTGAGCACCCGGCTGTGACAGCTTGCTGTGCTTTGTGAATGACCCTGTAGTCTTCTGGGACCTGTCACATGGTGCCAGTCCTTAATGCTTAATGGGGAGCGGGGGACACAGCATTAAAATCGGAACTGGGTGGAGCTCCGTTTTAAACATGTCCAGTAAAAAAATTTAAAAATCAAATTTCATCATAAATTTAGGCCAAAATGTATTCTACTACATGTCTGCTAAAAAAAAAAAAACAAATCCCAATATGTGTAAATTAATTGGTTTATGTGAACATTATAGCGTTTACAAATGGCGGTATACTAGTGGAATTTTGTTTACTAAATGGCAGCGATCAGTGACTTATAGCGGGACTGTGGCGGACATTCGGACACTGGGGGGAACTGACTTGTCACTGACATCTGCAGTGACACCAATACAGTGATCAGTGTTAAAAAAAAAAAAAGTACCGACACAGTACTAATGGCACTGGGCAGGAAGGGGTTAACATGAGGGGTGATCAAAGGGTTAACTGTGTGCAGGGAGTGTTTTACTAGGGGGCTGTGTCAGTGTGCACAGGCTGAGAGGGAGCAGAACTGTTAGTAAACAAAACAGTCGTCCTCCGCGTCGGAGAGGCTCAGTAGCCAGGACCTGGTGATTGACAGCTGCGGATGGCAACGTAGGTAGGGTGCGTATTTCTTCCATAGGGCAGTCCGGAAGTGGTTAAAGTCTGCCATAATGTGTCACATACAGGTTATATGGTGTATGTGTGTCAGCGAGATCTGCTGTTTTTACTGTCCTCCTACATTTAAAGAATGCTTTGTATATTTGTTTAATACAGGGCTTTCTGTAAATGGACAAAGGGAGAACAGGGGCAGGAAAATAACAGGATATCACCATGTCTATTCTCAGAACGACTTGTATTCTGCTAAAAGAATAGAGGGCTTTTTTGAATTGATAAGGGTAGAGGAAATTACGCTGTAGGGGCTCATTCACAGGTGCAGCCCCTCTGAAAGGTGATGTGCGGTGGATCGCTTTTCAGAGGGTGTTTGACAGGTGTTAAGGAGGCAATATGTTGCCTGCTCACCTTTTAATTCTCAATCCAAGCCTACTGCGTGGCTACCAAATGCATTTTACTACCTGCTTTGGCCGTCCTTGTGCACCAGTCTTTCAAGAGCTGGAACTTAATTTTCAGCACCCGGAAGAAGAGCACTGACTATAATTTCCAGCATTAGTGAAGCTTTAACATTTAAACTACACCGCAGCAATCACAACCTAGGATTAGAGGTAACTTGTCTCTACAGAGCACAATTCATAAACCTTTTTTCTTTCTTTCTTTCTTTCTTGGCATTCCACTCTTAAGTATTCCTAAGGTCACAATAAGGTAAATGTTGTTTTAGTGTGGTATTCGCAAAGATCAGAATAAAAAAAAACAAAAAACCCCATAACTGTGGGTATTGACTATAGGGTCTGTTCATACCCAATACAATTCATTCCAGTTTGCTGGATTGCGTAAGGCAGGTAAACTGCATGGTGCTTGAAATGAAGATACCTAAAAGAAAACAAAGCAGCCTCCTAACACTTTCCTATCTGGCAGGCAGGAAATCCTCATGTTGCTCAGTTCAGTAGAGATGGGCTCCAGTTAGGTCTGATGTTTGGACCCTGCTGTTTTTTTTGTGGTTCCATCTGATGGTCTGCATTACTGCAGGTTCTGGCATTAACTAATGGCCTGATGTAGCTGAATGGGCTGAATCCAGAGCACATGGTGAAGAGGTATTAAGCAGGGGCGGACTGACCATTTGGAAACACGGGCACTGCCCGGGTCAGTAGGGGGCCCCATGAGATGCCCCTGGTACCTTTTTCATAGGCTTTTTTGAGTTTGGGCAAGCACACAGGGGCCCCATGATCCCCTATTGCCTGGGGGCCCCATGAGTTGACAGTCCGCCCCTGGTATTAAGTGTCATGTTGTAGGCCATTTTTGGTTATTTTAAAGCTGAACTCTTGGCAACTATAGAAGTGTAGTTGCATGTCCACATTAAAGGATACGTTCACTTAAAAAAAAATGTGCATTTTTTTTTTTTTTTTTTTTACTGGGAGTCTATAAATCGTTGCACCCATGTTCAGCAGATTGTGGGTGCAATGTCAGGCTCTTGCAGAGTGTCCCTACACTGACCTTACCTCTGATGCAGACAGTTACTGAATGACAGGAAGCTCAATAGACTACGAGAGTGCTCACCAGTGTCCTCCCAGTACATTGAGAACTACAAGCAGTCAGCCGCAAAGGCTGACTGTACTTCTAGGCGTTCATTCAGAGGAAACTGAATGATGTGGCTATGTGGGCAGACCCACATGCTGCGTTATATTCAGATAGTTACAGTGGGCGCGGGTCCCCAGTTTACTTTCAGAGGGAATGGGGGGGGAGGTTCAGATGTTGCAAATGAAGGTGAGCTTTCTCTGCCTCTCCAGCTCAGTTCCGCTGATCATTAGAGAGGCAAAGCTGCTTTTTTCATATATAGGAGCCAGACCACATGCCAACAATTTATTCTGTGCAGTTTAGCTGTATAAACCCATTTATATAATTGAAGCATGTTCTTCCCAGTGTGTGGTGCATTTAGCAAGGTAGAGAATGTCCCTTGCAGTGTTGTCAACCTGCAGTTCACCATTCACATTAAATGGAGACATTCAAAATCATGTCATGGTGCACCTGCATTAAAAATGCATTCATTCTCCGTTACACCTGGCATGAATTATTTAAGTAAAATCATTGCAAGCCTACTAGATGCATTGCTACTTTGGCAGGTAGCAGATTGTTTACTTAAATGGTGTTATATTGGAAAATGGGGTTTCCAATTTCCACAGCCAATAACTGAAGAACCTCTGCTATGGAACAGTTTAACTGCCTCCCGCCCGCCATATAAGGTAATGACGGGAGGAGCGGTGGCTCTCTTGTTCTAGGAGGACGTCATATGACGTCCTCCGACTGCGCGTGCGTGCTAGTCAGTTCCATACAAGTGCTGCTTTTCAGTGCCCTTCACTGATACCTGTCAATGCCCATCAGTGCCTCATCAGTGCCCATCACTGCAGCCTCATTAGCGCACATCAGTGAAGGAGAAAAATTACTTATTTGCAAAATTTTATAACTGAAACTAAAACTTTTTTTTTTTCAAAATTTTCAGTTTTTGGTTTGTTTAGCAAGAGGTGATTAAATACCACCAAAATAAAGCTCTATCTGTCTCAAAAAATGATAAAAAAATGTTATGAGTACAGTCTTGCATGACTGTGCAATTGTCATTCAAAGTGCATCAGTGCTGAAAGCTGAAAATTGGCCTGGGCAGGAAGGGGGTGAAAGTGCCCTGTAGACAAGCGGTTAATTTGCTTGCCATTTGAAGTCCAGCTATTTTTATTTAAAGTGGTTCTAAAGGCTGAAGGTTTTTTACTGTCATACATTCTATGCATGAAGGTAAAAAACCTTTGTGTAGCCCCTCCCGCAAGCCCTCCAATGCTTACCCCATCCCGACCCTGATTCCAGCAATGTGCACAAGAGCCTAGGCTCTCCTGGGAAACTTTCTTTGGCTGAGACACAGCAGTGGGTGCTATTGTCTCCTGCTGCTTTCAATCAGTCAGTGAGGAGGGAGCATAGGGTGGGATGGAGCCATGCGCTGTGTGTCCCATAGATGCACAAAGGCTGCTCAGGAGCAAGCATGTACAAGTGCCCCCAGAGTAATTCACTTGTTCTGGGGGCACTAGAAAAGTGGGAGGGGCCTGAAGCTTCGGTGGGGGACCCAAGAAGATGGGTTGGGGCTGCTTTGTGCAAAACCATTGCACAGAGCAGATAAGTATGATGTGTTTATTATTTTCAAGAAAAAAATTGAGGCTATAGAACCACTTTAAATGTGCGACTACAATGGAAAAAGTATGCAATATTAAAATGAAAAAAAAAAAAAAAAACTATCTACGTTGACGCTTTCAGAACAGATTAACTCTTTGATCCTGTAAACACAGCTTTTAGTTAGAGAAATGTGTGCACACAGGCACTTTCCAGAAGTCTTCCCAAGCTTGCACAAGCATTTTACATTAGGTTTAGGAAATACGGGTTTGTGTATATACTGCTTAAAACCAACTGCTTTGTTCCACATACGTCAATAATTCTTCAGAGACTGATGCTGGATACAGAATGTGAATACCTACATTATGAACACTAGCTCTTACATTCTCTGAGCGAAACACTGGCTAAAGATCCTTCCAAGGTCAGAGGTCATCTGAAATATGTTTTACTGCACATTTAGAATCTGGATGATTGTTTATGCAATTAAGCAGTTGTCCAAGACTTCATGTTCCATAGACTCTGCCTCAGTAAGGGCAATTCTCAGATCTTGACAAGTTTTTTTGGAGTCAAGGATACAGATGGAATTTTAAAGGTGTGTGCGCATTTTGAACAATGCCTAAATAAAATGACTTGTTTGTATTTAAATTTGGTATTTTTCCATTTTAATTGGGGAGTCCATGTGAAACGTATATTGAGGCTTGGTGGCTTGAAAGTCTGAGTCATATTTGAGCTATGGGTTTAATTGCCTTTCACAGTTTTCAGGATGTTCTTCCAGATGAGTATTTCACTTTTCTACGTGTAAAATGTACTAAGGAACAGTGCTTTTGGAATTGCTCAAAATCACTGTTGTAGATATGTTTGCATTTGTGAAGACTGAATATTTATTTTTGCGTGTCCATTGCTGAGCAAAATTGATGAGAATTGATATTCACAGGTTTTTCTAGCGGACATTTCTAGGCATCACCACATGGAAAAACAAGGCCATGTCACATTTGTGATCCTGTCATAAGTGATGGGATCATTACACGGTGCTAAATAAGGTAGATAAGTGCTCGTCTGTTTCCTTTAGACTTTCCTTCACTGGCTGGATGAGCGAGCTGTCACTTTCTTCATGGGAACCTTGCATACGGTAAATTTGTTTCTTCAGCAAGGGAGTGACCCTGCTTATCGAGCCAGAGGAGGAGTGAAGAATGGATGTGGCTGTATTTTCTCTGCAGTCTTTGATCCTGCCACTAGTTAGTTGTTACTAGTGACTGGATCACATGTTGCATGGCCCTAAATGTTGACCAGGTTTTTTTTTTTTTTCTGTTTTTTCAGCTTCTGAGCTTGAGCATTCACACTGTTGGGTTCTTGTTTACACATGTGCACCAAACAATAAGGAAGAAAAGTACTCTGTATGTACATTCCAGTTTAGCTATGTTTGCTTTTCATTCCACATCCCTTTCTTGCTTTTTCTTTGAACCAAATGTTGAAATATGGTACTCTCATCAAATTGACTTCTTTTCAGATTGTTGCCATGGCTTGTATCAATCTCGCTTCCAAAATTGAAGAAGCGCCCAGAAGGATTAGAGATGTGATAAACGTTTTTCATCACTTGCGCCAATTAAGAGCAAAACGGTATGTTTCTTTGTTATGCAAATGCAATTACTGGTTTGTCAAATAATTTTCAAAGACGCAGCTTTATAATCTTGTGCTCCTCCATCCAATATCTGTGCCTACTGAACAGAAATCAGTATTTTTCAAGCTGCTGTAGAATTGAACAGAATATATGCATATTTTAGATGAGACAGTTTAATTATTTCAGTGTGATAACTTTTCTTAAAAGGGCCATTTTTAGGCAATTTCCAGTTTTGATTTCTTGAGGAAATATTTTTACACAACAGTCCTTTACACAACAGATTTGTGTTGTGGACTTTTCTTGTTCGCAATATTTCTGCACATGTGCCGAACATCCTCTTAATCTTCTTTGGATATCATGCTTAATTTTTCTGTTAAGATCTTGTGTTGGAATTTGTTTTCAGCACTTAGCTATGTATGGATCCCCCAGGCCTAAATAACAGACTTCTAAGTTAGAGACAAGTCAAGAGCCAAGACTCAGGTTTGATTTTGCAGTAGAATTTTTAAGTGAAAAAAGAAGGGTTAATTTTTTTATTAAACTAAAGAGCATGTCCAATATAGTTTCAAGAAGGATTTTATGTTTCTGTAATCTGTAAAGTATTGCATGTTGATTTATTTCCTTTAATCTAGTTTTGTGATATTCCATAAACTTTTAAACCTCCTATGTGCTTCATAGATTTGTGTCGTACTTCAGTTTAAACAGTTGCTTACTTGAGCTTTTTAAAATAAATGGAAATGTATTGCTGGTTTGCATTCTTGGTAAAGACCATCCTCGCAGAGGATTGAAAAATGTCTACATTTTACCACTTTTCAAGGCCACAACTGCACACAAGGGCTACAGATAGTTCATCAGGATAGGGTCACTTCTTGTGTAATAACTTTTTTTTTTTCATATATATATATATATATATATGTTAGTCACACTTGGGCATCAATCCATGCTGCATATAGCTGTGATTAGTTTTCTGTGCATGAATTCATTAAACCAGGGTACATAGCCATGTATAGAAAAGGTTTTCTTTGTGGGCGAGATGCACATTCGTTTTCAAAAACTAATACTTTTATCTACACATATTATATTAAACTTGATTTTAAATGATTAGGCATAGTGCAGACATTACATCTTATTGAGATTTGTAGTGGTAATATGTGAAGTCTGCACTGGTTTTGTTTTTTAGCTAGCCACTTCAGATTTCAGGGCTTCAAACTGCGACTCATTCATTCAAAGGATTGACTCAGACTGAAAACTTAGCCATGTGGTGTGTGCATAAATCATGCAGTTTTGAAGATATTGCCTTCTCAGATCTGAGCTCAAGGCTTGAGTACTGAATTTCTTTTTCTGCTAGATTTATTCACTCAGTGTATGGGCAAAATCGATCAGCCCCAGCATTCCTAGCTCTACTGCAAGACTCAAATAAGGCTAGGTTCACACCCTTGCATTCCCTGCATGCTGTGTTTTGTATGGGTTGCTGAACCTGCCAGAAATGCAGGTAAAAGGTCCTTGCACCTTTCCATAAATCATGTCACACAGAAACCACATGGTGCTTTCACGCCATGCAGTTTCATGCACCCGAAAACGCACTGCATTTTGCGATGCATGGAGGTGCCATTAAAAAATTAATGGCACCCCCATGCTTCTGCATAAGAGCAGCACGTTTTGGCTGTAGGTGCAGGACAGCGTGCAATTTACACACTGTTCCGCACCCAAAACAGTGTGAACCTAGTCTTCGTGCACATTACCAAGAATTGTGTTCATATAAAGGCCTATTTCTAAATTTTGTGTGAACAAATTTAACTGCCGTCAGAATGGTCACTAGTAATAAAATGAGATGTCTTGTTTTCATAAACTTGGTTTGCTTTACAGTAAATGTCTGTACACACTGGCGCAAATAGAGCTAGATACTTTTTATATTCACATCAGCACGCATGTCATGTAGAAAGAAGACATTTTGAAGATATTCAAGCACGTTTTTAAATGTGGTGTTTAATTCAATTGCATATGCCTGCTGGATCTAAGTTTTTTATATACGTCTATATATAATTAAGTCAGAAAATCTTATATTAAGGAATCTGACAAACGCCATGAGTAGTGGTTATGACATGTAAAGCAAGCAGAAGAAAAGTCATGTTACCTTTTTATGTTTTAGACATGTGTATTGACTTTACATTTTTTTCCCTTGCAACCGACTATACAGCAACCAGCTACATTTACCAATGCCTGGGTGATGTGGAGTGGTACATAGAGATGAAGCTTTCGTCTTGGCAACAGTGAGTGAAGTGTCGAAAATCCCCATGGAGAAGCCAGTGCTCTGAGAATAGGTCACTGGAATCGGGGACTCACAGGTTGGCCACTGGTGAACCATTTGGACAAACTCCTGTGTCATGTTAAACTTTTGTCTTTTGCTGTCCAAGTTTAATTTAATGGTTATTTATGTTGCATATCTTCCAACACAGACATTTGTATGAGGAGTCAAATCTTACAAGGAAAACATCTCTAGCTTGTTTATATCGGCACATTTTTATTGTTAAAGGAGTTCAGTATTTAAGAATTTACCCATAAGAAATTTACATTACCAGAAAGCTTCAGTTTAACTCCTTTTACTGTTCCTAATAATGGTACTTAATTTGGTTGAGGAGCTACACTTCAAAGGCACATATTTTGTATTGTATTTGAAAACACATTTTTTTTATTTCTCAATCTTTCCACTGCTTACTGTAGGCTTGCAGTTGTAATATGCATTTGCTGCTACTCACCATCTTGCTGTACACCACAATGGGAGAATCTTACAATTAAAAGCATATGTAACCTTTTTTAAGGCTTTAAAGCGACTGCATTACAACATGCTTTGAACACTGTTAGTGTATTTCACCTTTGCAGCCAAATTGGCAAAGCACTTTATATTTGTTACATGTTCCCATTACATAGCATTACTTTAAAAAATTGCTGCCTATCTTTTTTTCTTGCTGACCATTTCGACCTAGCCATCACATGTAATGTTAATGGGATGGAGTGGGGTTGCTGATAATTTGTTTACCATAATTAACCTTGCTTGTGCAGTTCCCTCAGGGCTTCATTATCGGTTGTAAACTAGATGTCCACACTGTCTGTGCTAACAAAGGGTAAAAGATCTCAAGGCTTAGGTGGTACATTGTATGTCATTTTTTAAAAAAATCTGTCCCCTAATTTCACCTTGCAAGCCATTCTGAACAAAATAAGTTGCTTGTAGAGTTATGTGTATATTTTGCTTCAAGAAACAACTAGAACGGTAAGAAGTGTTTTTGTTTTTGCATGCTGTGTGAATGGTAACGTAACATTGTTGGGGTTTCTCAAATTTGACTGCCAAGGTGAAATTAAAGTTTAACTGTCTCCTAAATTCGATCGGGCATGTTTCCTAAATTCAGGCATATATAGATCAGGTTTGAATGTTTACAGAAACTTGTTATACACTTCACATTTTTTTTTTTTTTTCTATATCTGGACCGTTCTGTGTTTTATGCAATAGACAGAACAGGTTTTGACAAGATGCTAAAATGCTTTGCTCAACCATGATATTTGCACTCTCTGGACACCTTAACAGAGGAACTATACACACAAGTTACTTTGCTGAAACACATTCAAGTCACATATCTAGTGATAGCTGTCACAATTACTAGTTTGCTTATGTCCATTCTCTCCTGAACTGTCAAGTTTTTAAATGGTTGGGGTCATAGTTGATCAGGTGCGCAGCCATTTAGCAAGTGTAGGCTGAGATGGCAGCTTCCTTGGCTGCAAAGAAAAAAAAAAAAAAAGGTTTAGTTCCACTTAGATTTAGATTATAAAATATTTCCATAAAATTGCAAATCAGTGTTTTGTAAACTACTTGCTACAGAAATGTTAAAATCTGTCACAAAGCTAAATGGCTTCCTCTGTAGCCTCCAATGGAAGCAGCCATTGTTTTTTATTTCTGGGGACACTGTTTTAAAAAATTGTATTTATCTTCTGGTCTTCGTAGTGCCACAAACCATATTCTTGCAAGCTCACAAGTTACTGCATATCTCTTCAGCTTCCTGTATACCCCTGGGTCACCAAACCTAGGGCACTCGTACTTGGAAATACCTACCTATCAGAAGGTTGGTACTTCTTATCTGCTACCTCAGGTGCCCAGTAAGAAGTGCCAACTTCTCTATTTGAATTTAGTATTTGTTCTTTGGAAGCTGAGTTGTCTGCTGTAACATGTTATCAACATTTTTACAGACTAGTACCTCATTCACACTTGTGTTTTGGGAGAGGGTAAAAGATGCACAGCCGAGCTGTGTTTTCATTTCATACACTTACTCCAACCAGCGCCTCCTTTTGCTGCAAAGGCAACAGAAGGGGGAGTGCACGTGCAATGATGCAATGCAAAGCAAAAATGATCAACCCTGCACGGGGTTTAAGGGATCAAAACAGGTGGTGAGGAGGCGATACAGCGCCTCCTCACAGCCTGTCAAATGTCCTCTGAAAAGCGGTCTGAACGCAGAACACACTTCAGAGAGAATCACTGGTGTAAACTAGCTGTAGGTCAGTACATGTCACACTGAAATGTTCAGCTTCACTGAAAAGAATGTAGTGGCCCTGGTGATAAAATGTTGCACAGGAAAAGAGTGATAATCTACTTTTCATGCCCTTCAGAGATGGGTATCTAGCCCTGTGCCAAGTTACTCTTAAACTTTACAAAATGTAGTACCTCTGCACTTTAAAATGTTCCTTTTTGTATTTAAATACAAATCAATGGGTCCTTTTGTCTGTAAAGTCGGTCAATGATAATAAGACAGCAATGAAAGCATGATCCCATCCACCCTCTGACCCTCGTGTTGGCTAGTGCAGCCCCAACAGTTGCAATGATTGAGTGTTTATGTTGTATAGTTTATCAGTGCAATAGTATGGAATTATATTCCCATAATTGTTACTTTTTACAGACCTTTTAGTGGCCTCTTGCTTAGACATTTGATACGTAGGTTTTAGTGCTCACTTTTGCTTA